TAAGATAGGGTCTCACTCTGTTGCCTGGGCTAGAGGTACAGTAGCATCATCACAGCTCACTGCAACCTCAAACTCCTGGGCTCAAGTGATCCCCCTGCCTCAGCTTATTTTGTATTTTTTAAGGTGGGATTTCTCATTAAGATGATTAATAATTATGTCTTTCAATTCAATCTATTTAATATTACATACAATGAAGACAGAGAAAAAGCCAATAATTACATGATGTAATACATTATAGAATTTAAACAGCACTTATGCATTCAAATATATGTGGATAAGAGGTATGCTGCAGATCCTTAGCACTTAGGAATATTTTCATATTCAAAAAGAAATCAATTTCAACCAACAAATTAATATTAATATTAATAAACCTTACCAGTTGCAGTGTCTGGTATATGAAGTTTGCTTAAGTGGTCTTTCTGTGCTTTCGCTAGCATGCATATTCTATGAAATTCTTCCTTCAGATCCCAGAAGGTCTTCTCTATATTACCCCTAAAAACAGATGAATATTTTAAAATGTAAGCCTATAACTTCAAATTTTTTTTTTCACAATTAAACTTACATAGTACCAATTATGGATAACAAAATAATTATTGAAAAGTTGGATGTTAAAAAATTTATTTTAAATTCCAGGAAAATATCCCAGAAAACAACTCTGGAGAGCCAGGCATGCAGTAAGTGATAAATCAAAAGTTTTAATACATAAATGTAGTACAGACTGGCCTATCTACTTATTCATATATCACACTGATGCTGGCTGTCTTATTCTCACATTAGAAATTTCGATGTATTGAGTTTGTTCTCTGTAAACATCTTAAATAGAGTATTAAATATTCCTCACTTTGGTGAGGTTCACATTAGGATCCATCCAATGTGGCCATAATACTTGGTCTATTGAAACAGTAGAGCTTTACAGAGTTCAGTTTTTAGACCCACTCTGCTATTAACTGTATGACTTATTTAGGTCATTTAACATATAGGACCCTTGAATTGGTCTCTTCCAGTCCTAAAAGGCTTTTTTCTTACAATTGCTAAAATGTTAAAATATATTTCAATATTTATAACTTTTAAGAGTTGACAAAAAAGGATGTAGACCTACCTTTCATGGAGTAAAGGAACGCCAAGACTCCCTGGTGAAGTTTCTTTTCTAGGAGAAGAAACCTCTTGTCTTCTTACCTTAAAGATACAAAATGGTTACCACTTTAAATTGCTTCCAAATTCAAATGAGACTGAGTTAACAGAAAACACAAAGGAAAATTTATTTATTTATCTTCCTTATTGAAAAATAAGTTGAGGCAGCTTACATACATACATACACACACACACACACACAATAGATTTTTTTTTTTCATGAGAACAATAAAGGAAAAAGGAAAATGATAGAAAGTGTGAAGACATAAAGCATTTCTGGTAACTTCTTCAATTACTATTTCCAGTGCTGGCAATTCAAGGAATTTCTCAAATTTAACTACTAATCAAAATTGCTATACTGTGATCACCAAGTACCTTATATGACCAGAAGAAACTTAAGGAAAAAAAATTTGTGTGTATGTGTTTACTTTTTTTGATACTCAGCAATAATGGCCTATATATTTAAATCAATGTCTTTATCTTTTGTTATAGATTCTTTGCTGAGAAGTGTAGTAGAGGAAGAAAGAAAGTCAAACTATAACTTTTTATCCTTTAACAAGCATTTAAAAAATTTGTAAAGATAGTGCATTATGTATTTAAGCTGTTTCAACACAAGTTCTTGCCTTTCACTCCCACCATGTGGCTTACACTGGTATTACATTTATTCTTACATTCAAAAATCAACATTAAAGAACATTGTTGCAATAATCTATGGTTTAGACTTTTAAAAAATCTTGAATCATATCTAGAAAGCTTTGTGTACTTTCAAGCTATAAACTGACAAATTCAGAGATTTGAAGAATCCTAATATTATATAGTCATAAAATATAATTCAGCCAAAACTGTAATTCTAAAACTAGTAGACATTTACCTTAGTGACTTTTAGATTTTATTTGATTAAGGTCATTGTAACTATTATTAAAATGGAAGATTTTATTTCATTGTTTCTTATCACCTGAGTACATCTGTCTTTATTCTTGCTTTTCAAAAGATTTCTTTCAGTTTCTTAGGAGTCTTATTTGTTAAGATAAAGACCTGATTTCACTTTGTTTTTCTTAAAACTATTGTCTTCTCCAATTTAAGTTATTACTCTAATTTGCCAGATTTTTCTTAATAAACACTTTAAATATATAGAGTATTATTTTACAATAGCTTGGAATTAGTAAAACTTTGACAATCCAATTTGTGATTTTATATATTATATCATCAAATTGAGGTAAAATAAAGATGATTCTTTTGTTGCATATCTGTCTGACATTTAGGGCATGCCTTATTCTGGATTAAAACTGCTTTATTGAGCTCTACAAAGCAGTGCAGTCACATCAGAAGACATTTTCACATTCACAGTTTGTTTTTAAAAGTGGTAGACAAGGTTTTTATATGGTGTTATGAGCAATTAGAACATTCAATGGATTTTAGTGTGGACTAGGAAGAAAAGCAACATTTCAAAGCTAGCCAACCAGTCAGGGCACTATAAGAATGAAAACAAACTTTTAAAAGATTATATTATTAAATTTATATCAACAAAATCAGAGAAGAGGTATATTTAGAGAACAAAAACATTTGGTATATTAAATCATAATAAAATAAGCAATTATATTAAATGAAATGATCTCACTATTTTATTAGAAGCTAGGAAGAACTAAAAAGAAGCACTCCGTAGTTTTAACCTAAAAATTAAGGTAGTTACAGAAAGTGGTAAACATGACTCTAAAGTCCTGATTTTGACATAAACTAGGAATGATTGTTTCTGAGGTTAAAGAAGCATTAAAAACTAATGAGGATGAGGAGGGGTGAAGGAAAAGGTAGGAAAAGAATGATAAGCTTTTGTTTGGCTTGTTAAATAATTGGCGCCAACTTACTTTTATGATGTTTGGATTTGATAACTAGAGTGGGTGAATTTATTGAGAAAAGATTCCTTGGGTGTAAAAAGGGAGGATTTACTTACTAAGGAATTTCTATGAAGTATCTAAATAAAGGTCTTTAGTTTTTTGGGGTTAGGAACACAGCTGTGCTTACTATTATTTTGTTTTTATTGTTATTGAAGAAAAGTATTAGGGACTGTACTAAGCAATATACTGTACCTTCTATCATTCACACCAAATACATCTGCTAATATATTTCAAATAAAAAATATGAGTCCCCATTACCCAGAAAAATTTTCAAAAAGGGACCTATTAACATGTTAGTTGAAAAATAAAGGCAAGCAGTATTCTGACAGATGTTTGAAGTAGGGTTTATTTAGATGGGTACAACATGTTAACGCTATTTCCCATTATAGCAGTCTGATGTAACTTTCTGAAAACAATCATTAATTTTTCAACAGATTTAGGATTAGTATAGTCAATGGCAATTTCAACACTTTTCCAAGAAACTCGAACTTTCTTTTCAATGATTTATCTTACCTAATGAAGATTAATCAGTTTGTTTAGCATCTCAGAGTGTAAGTAAACATTAGAAAGAGATAACTTGTGTTTTTCTTTCTTTTCTCAAATATTACTCAAGTGGGCTCTGAACTGCAGGAAACTGAAGTTATTGTAACTTCAAATAAGAAAGCAGGGGAATTTTGAACATTATATTTTAGGAGACTTTAAGCATTAAAATCATTCAAGAAATGAATTTATTGTGAGGTAGTAAAACTTAAAATACTTAACATCATAAACCGTTCCCAGTGCTAGTTTAGAAATGCCAAACTTGTGTAATGAATGCTGAAACAAGAGTTTTACACATCATACTTTTCATATACACTTCCAGTGTGTCACTGGATAAGTCATTCAACTAAATCTATTGAGATAAACCCATCTGAAACTGTTGAAAGATGTATAATGTTTCCTTAAATTTCCTCTTAAACGCAATGGGAGAATTTTGATTTAGTATAAATCAGTCTAAGCGTCTCATAGACGGATATTATATAAAAAATATATATTCAAGGGCCAGTTGAATATGCACTGATATTTAGGAAGGAGAAAAAATAAGTGACTAATATTTCTTTAATAATTCATTACTTTTAATGCAAAGATACGAGAACACGTTTTTGTGTTACATTGTAGGATACGTTAGACATCAATCTCTCAAAGAAAAAAATGTGTATTTTCCCTAACATCTGCCTTTGTTATAGTTGGTACTAAAAGTGAAAGTATTTCATTCCTTTTATAAAATAATTTTTTTTTGAGATAAGGTCTCACTCTGTCCAGTGGATCCTCCTGCCTCAGCCTCCCAAGTAGCTAAGACTACAGGTGTGCGCCAACACACCCAGCTAATTTTCATTTTATTTTCTGTAGCAACAAGGTTTTGCTATGTTGTCCAGGCTGGTCGTGAACTCCTGGCCTCAAATTATCCTCCTGCCTTGGCCTCCCAAAACACTGAGATCACAGCATAAGCCACTGCACCTGGCCTCAAAATAATTTGAAAAATACAGAAAAGCAATGAAAAATTTTCATTTGGAATCATTTTTCTCAAAAATTTTAAGCAATTAAAGTCAATAAAATTAAATTGAATTACGGAATTTTTAAAGATAATACTGACTAAACTGATTAATACAATGTATATTTTATCATATGTGAGAAATCTCAACTTTAAAAGGCAGTAAAAAGGAGGTAAGTTTTCAATGATATATATCTGAACTACAGCGATGCCTATCATTTCACTGCAGTGTTCATATCAAAGACTACCTCTAAACTTTAGTTGGAATCCTTGCATGTAAAAGGAATATTTATTCTTAGGTGGTTTAGGCAACTGAGTGGGGTCAATATTTTATTTAACTTCTGGATGAGGCTCGATAGTATTATGCTTTTAAAACAGAAAAGAAAACTATGTATGCTCTTACCTGGAAAAATGTAAACCAAGAAATAAGCCAAGGTGAGATGGGATGGATTGGTAGAGGGAATATAAACTGTGGAATAGTTATAAATATTAGCTTGATAAAATTCATTAAAGAAAAAGGAAAAATGAGCAGCGGAAAAAGAACATGAAAAAAAGATTCACTTATCACTTAGATTTTTTGAAATCTAAGAATGAAATGTTAAAGGAGAAACTGAGGTTGAATATTATCAGTTTTTTATATATTGAGACAAAAGATATTATGGAGAAGTTACGCATTGGATATGGTTGAATTAGGGAGAAAGAGAAGGACTGAGGGAAAAGATTAAGGTAGAAAACAGGACCAAAAAATTGTAAAAAGAGATTTGATAAGAATAAATAGAACAGCATAGTAACTTAAGAGTTTGAAGACAAAAGGTAAAAAAAAGATACAAGGAAATTGTATTTAATCTATTAGAATTTATGGCCATGTGAAATCTATGGTTCTCTCACCCTCATTAACATTCCTGAAAATCTAGCAAAGTAAGAGAAACACAAATCCTAGGAGCCTTGTCTGTCCTACATGATACAGTGTGCTAGGCAAACCTACTGCCAGTGCGGGAACAACTCCAGGGCAAAATGGGATCATCCCAGAGTTCTGAAGGAAGTGGCAAGAAAATAAACAATATAAAGATAAAATTAAACACCCCAATTACTTCCAAGTTCTTTATAGGGTCCTGGTTTAACTTAAATCTCCCCCAAATCTCTATCAATTCAGTGCTAAAATAAAAAATATATTTTTAAAAATTAAAATCCTTTATCAGTACTGCCACAATTACTGCAATTTCAATTCTATCTACTGAAGTTAATTTGAAGTAGAGTGAGATTAATATTTTCCTACTATCTATCTTTTAAGTCTTTCACTTTGTATTAAGTACCTTTTGCATATAAATTTATTTTCTCAAAAGGTAGAAATATTTAATTGTGGGATGTTTTTTCATACAAAATGGAAAGTGTATAACTTAAATGACCAATTTAAATAAGTAAGGTTTCTCATACTCCCTTTACTCCTTCCCCAAACACTACATCTAGAATGAACTGACTAGGGAAAATCCTCTTTAACCACACATTTAGTATTATAACATTACCATGATGAACAGAAGATATCTTCTTGGAAACAGGTATTATGTAAGCAATTTGCATGTATTACTTAACTTAAGCCACAAACCTTGTGAATTAAATACTTA